ATTTTAAACCAAAAAATATGTCACTTCACGATATGATGTTACAATATAGCATGAAATCGAAATATGGTCGATCGAAATTTTTATATATACTACTGCAGCACATGTCTGACATCTTTAATTTCACGTAAAAATTAATAAATTTGTAAACATTAAATATAAAAATGTTTTATTTTTTTTTATCTTAAAAACAGTCATTACATATAATAATTTTTATTATTTTCAAATATAAAATATGTTTTTTTAAAAGTAGAAGTTACAAATAATCAATAATTACAAATTATATCAATAATTTTGAATTTTAATTCAATTCATTTTTTATATTAATTATTAATATAGGTAAACATAATAATAAATTTAAAAATTTTTTTTTATCTAACTTAATTAAAGTGTTTTTTTTAACTAAATTATTATAAATAAATATAGAGATAAATACCTATTATTTATTGATTTATCTTTGGAAATTTATTTATTGTTTATTGGTTTACAGTATGGAAATTGTACAAATAAATGCTCAAAGAAGATTCGATAACTCTGGTCCTATTTTCGCAGCTTTTAAAAAAAAGCTAATAGATTTTTCAGCAAGCCCAGTCGCGATGAAAGTTGACAGACTACATAACGGTGATATAATTAAACCAGTCTGGCCAATACGGTATATACTACTGTCTAGTTTTTTCACTTCACATCTTTCGCATTTTTATTTATAGTGTTATAGACAATGTTTATTTATAGTATTATAATATTATTTATATGTTTTTAAAAATATGTAATATTTTGATAAAAAATTATTTAAAATATATTATTTATTTATAGTTTTTTAATTTTGATATATTTCTAATCTATAGAATTATAATATAAAAAATAGAAAAATATTAAATCGTTAGATCTTCAAATTTCTTATGTTTTTCTATTATTTTTATTTTTTTTAATTTTTTATAATATTGATGTTCAATATATATTTTTATACAATTAAATATAACTCATTCACATTTAAATATAAAAATTTTAATATAAAAATTTTTATCATTTCTTAAGTCATATTTATTGATTTAAGAAATTTAATATATTAATATTTCATTGTCATAGATCGTGTTTCTTGTTTCGTACAATTTCTTCAACAAAAATTAAACCAGGTCAATTTCTAAAACCCTTATCTGTGAAAGTATGGTATGTGATACTTGCCATGATAGGAGTCGTAACGACAATTTTAATTATCTTTTTAAAATTAGAAAATAATTGTACCCCCACAGAAATTTACGGTCTCTCTGTTTTGCTCACAATAGGAGCATTGTCACAACAAGGTATAGGATTAAAATAAAAACTCATAATACGTTTGAAAAAAATCAATTAAGAAAGCTTATTAAATTTTTTAAAACGAAATTCTTTCATAGGTTCTGCATTTATTCCAACTCGCTGCGCAAGTCGGATCGCGCTTCTACAAGTCTTATTTTTTAGTTTGTTAATTTTGAATTATTACTCTGCAAGTGTGGTATCAAGTCGTTTGAAAAATAAGGAGGAGAAGATGAACGATTCTTTAATTAATTTGGCAAAAAGTAATTTGAAACTTGCAGTAGAACCTACGCCGTACATTCGTTCTTTTCTTCAGGTAATATTTTTTTCCAAAAAAAATAAGAAAAAAAAAAAGAAAATTATATATTTTATTGAAACAATTTTTTTAAAAAACGAAAATATAAAAATTTTTATAAATATAATAATAAAATAAACGATGCAATATAAATGCATATGATATTTATAATAATGTTAATAAAAAATTACTAAAAAAAAATTTTTACTAATGGAATAAAACTTATCTGCAATTGTAATATTTTATAATGATTTTTATTACAAAGAATATCTTATTATAATTTTAAATATTATTGATCATGACAGATTAAACAATATTTTTTTCTTTCAAATACATTTATTTAAAATTAATATGTAGGTATCAGACAAGGAAGTGAAATACTTTTATGACAATTGTTGGACGAAAATACCAGAATCGTATAAATACTTGCCCCTGAAAGAGGGACTTAATCGTGTGGCGGAGGGTCATTTAGCTTATCACACGATGACCGATTCTGCTTATCCATACATCGAACACACGTTCAATCATCGAAGTATTTGCGAACTCACGGAAGTTCATTTATTCCGTGCTATTCTCGCATTTTATGCAAGATACCACAGTCCTTTTACCGAACTTATGAAAGTAGGGTATGAATGTTATATATTCTTAATTGATTTATCGTAATATATTTATGCGTATATGGATATATCTTGAATTAAAACGAAATGAAATTATTATACATTAAAAGAATATATATTAATTAGAATATTAAAAAAAATTATAGCAATATTTTGAAATCGTTTTAATTGCATTTTGTATAGCTTTTATAAGAAATTTAAAAATAATTTTTTTTGTATTAAATATCATATTAACTTATTAAAAAATTGAGAAACATTATACTTATTTAAATTTAGGACAAATTAATAATTTTTTTTTTCGAAATATGTCCATTTACTAATTAGTAAAAAATTAAATTATAATACTTGAAATCATCGGTTTCAAGAGAATAATTTAAAAATAAAATTTGAAAATTAATTGTTTTTTTAGTTTAACTAAAATTCATAATGTGGGTATCCAGAAACGTGAATTGATACGATGGACGGCTAGGAAACCTTTTTGTCCAAATAACCTACTTATTGCTGAACCTCTATCGATTCATGAAGCTGCGCCGATTTTTATGTTTTTGTGCATCTCTATTATTCTATCGATTCTCATTTGCATTATTGAAAATATGATCTTCTGTCTTTTTCCAACACGGTGAATTCGAAATTTTTATTTTAAAGAAATTTATATAATATACATATTATTGAAATATATTATTATTAAATATAAAATTTTTTTTTTAGAGTTCCTAGTTTCATAATGGAAAAAACCAATTGATCGACAAGAATTCAAATCTTTCTTCTTCACGAGGATCTAAATAATAATAAAAATAATAAAAAATAATAAAAATAATAAATCAATAAACTTTGAGAAACTTCAATTCTTTTAGCGAATGAGCTAAAGACCATTTTCAAAATTCTTAAAATTACGATATAATTATTTTAATAATATAATTATTAATTAATTAATTTGTCATTCGAATAAGCATGGAAGCACTTAATTATTAATTATGTAAATTAATTCGATTTAAAATTTTCATTATTATTTATTTTAATTTATGTCTATATAGCAGTTTTAAAAAAATGTCATTTATATTTATATGATTCTAATGAAAATGTTTCATATAATTAAGGACAATGTAATTAGAATATAAATTCATATATAAATTGCATATAAATTCATACTACAATATCTTTAATAATATATCAAAGGTAAGATTTAAATCTAAAATTATATATAAAATATATTAAAATAGAATTGGAAACATTCATTTTAATAATCAAAGAGTTATTAAACATAAATCATAATATATATATATATATATTAATTAATTTCAATTATACATAAATCTATTAATATAATTGTATCAATATATAAATATTGACACAAATTATCAAATTTCTGTAAGTTCTATAGAAATATAATTATATTTCTATAGTCATTCAACTGTATTGAAAAAGTAATAATAGATTTTATCAAATTAAAATCCTTATTTTAATTTTAATGGAATTCAACTTTTGATCAGAAAATAGAAAAAAAATAATTAAAAAAAATAGAGATAAAATATTTAATATGATATGCAAATGAAATTTGTGAATTTTAATTACAAAGACACATAATTATTTTACACATTATTCATATTTTATATGCACAAATGTAATTTAAAAATAATAATTTAATAATTTAATAAATTTAGTTATCATTTAGAAATAAATATGACAACATTTTAAATTTAATTAATTATATTGATTTAGTGAGCAATAATTGTAAACCTATTTATCTTCAATTATATAATTAATTTTTAAATTAATAGATTTTTATTCCTTCAACTTACATTAATTCATTTTTAAGCAGCATTCGAATCGAATTTAATAAAACACAGTGCAAAGATGAATAATAATAATGTAAGTATATTATGCAATCGATATATGAGAAATTCGATCGATCATAAGACGTTAGTTTATTTGATATTGAAACTGTCGTGCTGGAAACAAGACGCTTGAATGAATAATCGATTAATCATGTTCTGCAAATACTTTTCGTGACACAAATAATTTGACAAATTGCTCGAAATCATTTAACTTGTCTTTCATATCAGAATTCAAAATGATACGTCGTGCATTCGATGCATAAAACGTAATGAAATAATATAATAGAAAGGTATTATTTAACGATACTCAATTTGATAAGTATTTGATTAGTATTAGGGAACAAGTTTTAAGTTTAAAAAAAGGAATAGTATGCATCCTATTTTCTTTATTTTATTGCAATTTCTTTTAATCTCTAATGCACAGGATCATATATTCATTCGTGATTATTTTTTATATAAAAAAGTGCGAAATGTTGTGGGATTTTCTTGTGGTGATACAATAGGTAATTATTATTAATTATTAATTATATCTAATTGAACTATTAGACAGATATATATATATATACAATGCCTCACCTAACTTAAGTATTATATATGTATTTTATTTTTTACGAAAAAATATCAGAGATTTAAAAATCATTGAAATATTTTTAATGGAAATATATATATTATTGGAATATATATATATTAATGGAAATATATATATAATTAAATGGAAATATATATTTTTATCATTATGATATAATAGTTAAAATTAAGATGAATAAATTAATTTTAATAAATATTCAAAAATATTCATTAATATCAATGCATTTCTATAAATAATTTAATATAAATGTAATATAATTTCTCTAATTATTTGAAAATTAAAATTATTTCCATTTTTTTTGTTTCAAAAAATTTTACAAGAATAATATAATCTTAGATAATGACTAATTCGAATAAAAGAAATCAAAATCTAAACTGATAATAAATGACAACAAAAATTAATATATGAATATATTATAAATAGAATGTCTCAAGTTAAGTGGGATTTGTATTTGCACTTGTATATCATTAGTTTATTTTTTAAAAAAATAACATAATGGAAACATAACAATATTCAATTAGTATGTATGTTAGTAAGTATGTCAATTTAGCATAAAATTCTTCTAATATATATAATAATTAATATATATATATATATATAATTATAAAAATATTTCTTTTTTTCTTTGTTTCTTTTTATCAATTTAATA